AGCCTCCCAAGTAGCTGGGACCACAGGTGCCCACCACAACGCCCGGCTATTTTTTGGTTGCAGCCATCATTGTTGTTTGGTGGGCCCTGGCTGGATTTGAACCCGCCACCTTGGATGTACATGGCTGGCGCCTTAGCCACTTGAGCCACAGGCGCCGAGCCTAATCTTAAAAATCTTGACAAGCAAATCTATAATTTGTTTGCCTTCTTAGGCTATTTTCCTACACGTATGTTTATAAGCAATTTTTAAAAGTGTTTAATACATGAAATTCAATAGCCCTCTGGTGTATGCTTTTGTATTATAGAGTGCATTAATGACAACTACTGGTTTGGGAGAGACAAAAGCTGTGACTATTGCTTTGATGAACCACTACTGAAAAGAACGGATAAATATCGGACATACAGCAAGAAACACTTTCGGATTTTCAGGGTATGTGACTAAATACTCAAGTATTCTTGAGAGATCTGGTAATCTACTTATCACTCTTAGCTATTTTCTCACTATAAATCCCTACTGTTAAAAATACGAAATAAAATGTTCTCTATTTTAGGAGATGGGTCCTAAAAACTCTTACATTGCATACATAGAAGATCACAGTGGGAATGGAACCTTTGTAAATACTGAGCTTGTAGGGAAAGGAAATCGCCGTCCTTTGAGTAATAATTCTGAAATTGCACTTTCACTATGCAGAAATAAAGGTAAAATTATTATCTTACCATTACTGGATTTATTTCCTCCCAAGTGAAAAAATTCATGTTGTGTTTTTATGGGGTGTGCTTTAAGTAAGTAAAACTAAGTAAGGTGGTGTTCAAGATTAAACTCTGCAGCCTTAGTTGTATTTTTAGATTGTGAAAAAATTTTATCAAGACAGTGTTTTTTTAATTTTTTTGAGACAGAGCCTCAAGCTGTCCCCCTGGGTAGAGTGCTGTGGCATCACAGCTCACAGCAACCTCCAACTCCTGGGCTCAAGCGAGTCTCCTGCCTCAGTCTCCCAAGTAGCTGGGACCACAGGCGCCCGCCACAACACCTGACTATTTTTTTGGGTTGCAACCATCTTTGTTGTTTGGCGGGCCCAGGCTGGATTTGAACCTGCCACCTTAGGTGTATGTGGTTGGCGCCTTAGCCACTTGAGCTACAGGTAACCGAGCCGCAAGACAGTTTTTTAAGGTTTAATTGGTTTTATTTAAAGCTACCTGCTAGTAATTGACATAATGGTTAGAATAAATTAAAGTTCATTGATTGATTTAGTTGATACCATATCAGTCATAGATATCTACGAGCTGTTGCTTTTGGCCATTAATTCATCTTTCCTCCCTTCCTCATTGTTTCTTTCTTCATTCCTTCTATTCTTTCTTTCTTTTTTTTTTTTTTTTGAGACAGAGTCTTACTATTTTGCCCTCTGTAGAATGCATGGCATCACAGCTCACAGCAACCTCAAACTCTTGGGCTTAAGTAAGTCTCTTGCCTCAGCCTCCCGAATAGCTGGGACTACAGGTGCCTGCCATAACGCCTGGTTATTCTTTTTGTTCTAATTTTGTTGTTTGGCAGGTCCTGGCTGGGTTTGAACCTGACAGCCTCGGTGTATGTGGCTGGCACCCTAGCCGCTGAGCTGCAGGCACCGAGCCTATTCCTTCCTTTCTGTATGTATTTATTGAGCTCCTATTATGTGCTAGGAATTAGGCTATGGATGTTTCTGTAAGAGGCCACTTAAATACCACATAATTGTCCTGTTTGTATTGTCGTCATCAGGTAGCATTTTATGAGCATCCGTTCCTAAAACTTTGAATAGCAATCTAAAATGAACAATTGTGGCTAGGCTCCTGTAGCTCAGGGGCTAGGGCGCCAGCCACATACACTGGAATTGGCAGGTTTCAATTCAGCCTGGATCTGCCAAACAACAAGAACAATCACAACAAAGAAAATAGCTGGGTGTTGTGGTGGGTGTCTGTAGTCCCAGCTACTGGGAGGCTGAGGCAGGAGAATCGCTTAAGCCCAAGAGTTTGAGGTTGCTATAAACTATAATGTCATTGCATTCTACAGAGGGCAACATAGTGAGCCTGTCTCAAAAAAAAGGGGGAACAATTGTCATTTGGAATATGGTCTAGAAAGAATAATTAGTAAAAACAACCGGGTGGCACCTGTGGCTCAGGGAGTAGGGTGCTGGCCCCATGTACCAGAGGTGATGGGTTCAAGCCCAGCCCTGGCCAAAAACTGCAAAAAACAAAACAAACAAACAAAAAAACAACCTATGGATTTAAAAGTAGTTCACAGTGATTTTAAATTCTTGGAGAAGAGAAATACTTTTTCTTTAATTTAAAGAACCAGAGAACTTCCCAAACCTGAGAGTCAAATGATAGAAGCGAGTGCTTCTTTGTTTACTTATTTATTTTTAGGACAGGGTTTTACTGTCATCCAGGCTGAAATGCAGTGTCACAATCTTATCATATTTAGAAAACATAAGTTCACCTAAAACACTCTCCACAGATTCCTGTAGAGAGTCTCCTCCACAGATTCTGTAGTCTGGGGATTTAAAAAAATCATACTGCTGAGCATGTTGATAAACACCTATAATCCCATCTACTTGGGAGGCTGAGGCAGGAGGATTGCTTGAGCCTAGGAGTTCCGAGGCTATGGCATGTTGTAATTGTCCAGCCTGGGCAACACAGTGAGACTCGCATCTAAAAAAAGTCATGCCCTGGGTGGTGCCTGTGGCTCAAAGGAGTAAGGCACTGGCCCCATATGCTGAAGGTGGTGAGTTCAAACCCAGCCCTGGCCAAAGACTGCAAAAAAAAAAAAAATCATGCTCAAAGAATTCTCATGTAGGGCTGAGTGTGGTGGCTCACGCCTGTAGTCCTAGTACTCTGGGAGACCAAAGTAGGTGGATTGCTTGAGTTCATGAGTTTAAGACTAGCCTGAGCAAGAGCAAGCCCCCATCTCTAAAACATAGTTGGACGTTGTGACGGGTGCCTGTAGTCCCAGCTACTCGGGAGGCTGAAGAAGTGAATCACTTGAGGCTAGGAGTTTGAGGTTGCTGTGAGCTATGATGCCATGGTACTCTATCCAGGGTGACAAAGTGAGATTCTATCTGGAAAAAAAAAAAGACTTCTCATGCAATATAGTCTATAGTCTGGCCTCTGAAAACTGTGTCTTTATTGGGCATCCTAAAGTGTATTTCGTGATGGATTTAGTTTATTCTGTTTTTGACTATTTTGTTTTCTATCTGATAAGAATAGTAAATGCACCTTGCATAGGGTTTTGCTATTTGTGGACATTTAGTAGAGGGGGCAACTGGGTGCTGAAATTTGGCTTGCCTTCTACACAACATTCTTTTTTTTTTTTTTTTT